AAATAAATTTATTTTTCTAAGAATTTACAGCATTTAAAAATTTCTAACATAGATAAAATATCACAATTTTTATTAAAAGGATTATTTTTCTAAGATAATGAGGTCGTGTGCGCATAAAATTTATCGCGCCTAAAATTCATGATAAGAAACAGAAATAATTATTTCATTTTATTTTTAAAAAGAATGGATTATTTTTTGAGACAATGAGGTCACTTACAAACAAAACTTATAAAATAAAGATCCTGGACGGAAATATCACTATTTATTACAAACAGACTATTTTTCAGGAAGACAATGTCACTTACACATAAAATATTTGAGAGGGATCTTCCGATAAAAATTGGGTTTGAGAGAAAAGTTCACTGTGTTTCGACCAGAGAGAGAAAAATCTCAAAAGTATTCTAGGGTGGGATTCCTCGCCTGTCGTATTTCAACTCTTAAGATACCTTATTATAATATTTTATTAAGTTACACCTCATACACGAGGTGTAACCGTTACCATACCCCTTGTATGCTTAAAGCCCACGTCCACTTGACGTGGCAATGCAAGAGCAAACAAAAGAAACTTAACCAAAAGATTTTGAAAATAGTGATGGTCCCTAAGGACCATTATGCTCATATAGACCATCACCTATTAAAAGTTTCTTTCCTTCTTTCTTTTTTTTTTTTTTTGAAATTTAGTGTCAATTTGAAATTTGACATCGAAAAGGTGTCAATCAACTTTTTTAGGCCTACTTAGCCTCTCCTCGCCCAAAAACAGGTGGTCACATATGAAAAATCACCACACTGGCTGGCCAGGGGTTTATTTGGAATGAAAGGAATCGCCGAACCTTCCCAGGCTAAAGCCAGCCATTGTTCTCTCTTTTAAATTGCACAAAAGCCTTGGTGATTCTTTGGGCTAAGAATCTACAGGGAGGCAACTTAGGCTCCTCAATCTACATTTCTCATTGAAACAACATCCTGCAACTTGCACCTAGGCCTTCCATCCACAGGCCAGTTGGGCACCTCCTCCTCCAGGCTCTCTAAAACTCAATATCGACAGCTACTCTTCAGGAAACCGAGGCCCTCAGGATAGAGGGGCAGTCTGGCAGACTGCAGCACCGAGATTCTATCCTTCCCAGGTATATAGGCCACACAGATTCCACCACACCTGAATCTATTGCACTGCTAGAAGGCCTAAAGAGAACCATCAGCTTCATCAGAAACTCTTAGGAGGAGATTTCAAGGAATGTAATATCATGGGCAAATGGTAACACCCAAACCCAATGGAGATTGGCCCACTATTACAACAATAATTTGTCACTTTGCAGGGGACCTCAGGCCACCTCCAACAATATCCCCAGGGACATCATAAAATGACATCTCCGGAAACTATATCCCGCTCTTCACCTCTTTTCATCTCTTCCCTCTCTCCCTTCTCTAACAGTTCGCGCTGTCTCTTGTCTCTTTGCAAAGAACTCCATAACAGCCTACCTCTGGTAGGCTGACAAATCTTTTTTTATTCTTCTTCCTTAATATCCCATTTTTTGGTTATAGAGCACCCATCTCTGATGGGTTGCCTAAGGGGTTCTTTTCATATTATAACTATAGATCTACTGCAATGTTAAACTTTTCTCCAAAAAAACAAAAAACAAAGAAAGAGAGCAACGTGATGCAGCACAATGAGCCTGACTATCAAAGCATCCAATTTCTTGCAGAGACCCAAATATGGATGTAATTTCTTCGTATCACTTCATAATGTATTTATCATAATAAGTTAAGGGCAAGTTTATCCTTTCCGAAAATATGTAAAATCACCATAGACTACATCTCTTCTCATCTTTTGCAAGTTAGAATCATTAGAGGGATGCTCAAAATGAGTCGGAATCCTAAGGTCAAGATGCCATCACTGAGGAATAGGTCAAGCATAAATATTCAACCATTTCTATGCCTTAGTTTTAAAATCAACGCTGCATAAGTGGAGACCATAGCAACTAGCACTAAGATCCATAAACGGAACTTGATGCCCTCACAAAATCAGGAGCAATGGGATATGAATTGTTAGTAATGATAAAAAGCACCTGATGAGTTGAAATGGTTTGCCAAATGGGTGAGTAAGAGCTTCTACGGCCAATGGATAAAAGCAAGTTAAGAGATAACTCAAGTGGACCATACCCAGATGAGTTGGTTGAACACACATCCATTGGTATACATACAATTACATGCACTCATACATGAATGTTCATGTGTTGTGGCATAAATATTCAACCATTTCTATGCCTTAGTTTTAAAACCAACTCTGCCTAATTGGAGACCATAGTACCTAGCACTAAGATCCATAAACAGAACTTGATCCCCTCGAAAAATCAGGAGCAATGGGACATGAATTGTTAGTAATGATAAAAAGCACCTGGTGAGTTGAAATGGCTTGCCAAATGGGTGAGTAAGAGCTTCTAAACATCAATATGTGTGCACATGTATATTTGTATGCAAATGGATAAAAACAAGTTGAGAGATGGCTCAAGTGAGCCATGTACAGATGAGTTAGTTGAACAAACATCCATTGGTATACATACAATTACATGCACTCATACATGAATGCTCATGTGTTGTGGTATAAATCTATAAGTGAATATCATACAAATATTCATGGCTGAATGAGTCAGTGACAGTATGTATGCAAAACCAAAAAAAACAAAGACATCTATAAGAGAGAGAACAATATTTAGAGCTTACATTAACAATGCAAACTTGTCACATCCATTATCCAGATGGACAAAAATATAATCCTTGATTAATGCTTCCCCAACCTACAAGAGAATTAAAGAAAAATAAAAAGAGACAAATCAGCATACCGAGAACTGCTTTTACATTAAAAGCATAAATTAGCTCACCCACTCAATTTAAACAAACAAAAGTCACACAGTAGCAAACAACAAAATGCAACTTACATGAGCATAATTTTGAGTTCCAAAATCACCTACTAGTGGTTCGAACTGTTCGCCTAAGCACAAGATGGCACGCAAAGTGTTTAATAAATGGCCTCGTATAATTCATAAATGATGGCGCATGATAAAAAAGATTGCATACCAAGAAACTGTAAACACTCAAGCCGTGTGAAAAGATTGTACTCCTTGAGTTCATCAAAAATTATCTTTGCTCTTTCACGCACAAGTGGGGTGCCAACAGCTCCCTTCACGTCACGAGATTTAGCGGAACATATACTTGTCAAATGATCATAAATTTCCCGATCAGTTGTATCAAGGAGAGCCTGCAACAACACAGGTAAGCATCAATAAGGACATCAAATAAATTAGCTTATGTCAAATGCTACAGGCCAAGATCCCACTACTTATCCCAAATAACTACGAAGATTGATAAAGGACAACTCATCAAAAGATTGAAACTATCCAAAACAATTCCTGGTTCAGAGCTCAATACCTTCAAAATGATGCCTACTGGAATAAGGCGTTCACTCCTCCTAATCCTACAAGAAAGGCGAAGGAAACAATCTCGTGATACAATCTAGTGCTTGATTTCCGGTACTGAAACAAATTAAATCACTTCACAAGGTCATACAAAAGTGAGATAAAATTGCTCACGAGAATCCAAGACGGGCACTCCCACTTTCAAGATAATATAGTCTGACTGTCACAGAGGATAGATCTTCCCTCTCACATCTGAAAACAAGAAAGGAAAAGTTTATGTTCCACTTCCCATGAACAGAACTATAGAAATTGAATAAAATAATGTTCCAAACATGCCTCGAAGCTTCTGGAATTGAATTTAGCACACATGAAGCAGACTATGCCTCACAATCCTCTAGTTTGACATGCTAGCTTGCCCAAGACGAGACTAGATGAAAATGAAGCAATGAACAAAAATTTGCTCCATTTCCTCAAACCGCCTAGGTCCTAGGCAGCTGTAGTAAGGCGCCTGCTTAGGCGCCCAAGGTGCCCACCTAGTTGGCCTGAAAGGCTGCTACCCAGGCACCACCTCAAAATTTCAAGGCCGAGGGCGGAAATGCCCCACAACCAGTGGGTATTTACAACATTTAAGGGGGGGGGGAAGGGTATTCTTGCCCCCCAAAACCTTTCTAGTGAGGTTTAGAGAGAAAGACCCTTTAAAAAACAAGATTTGAAGATTTGTCATGAGATCGAATGCTCACAGATTTAAAGGATATTCATCCCAAAGTCGTTTTGAGGCTTATAGTAGTTGTAAAAGAGGATATTTGGGAACCAAAACTTTCCGATTTGGGCCGATGTCGATTCCATTTAAAGAAGGTTGGTATATTTCAATATTTTAAATTAGGGCTATGTTTTTTTTTTTGTATAAAAGATTTATGATGTTATTCTTTGCCTTTTTCTTTTTCTTTTTGATACTTTATGATATACATTTGATATGTTATTAACTATTTGGATTATTCTCCCATTTTAATTTTCAGTTTGGGAAAGCAATTCAATAGAAAAAGTCCATGTCCCCCAAACCAATTGATTTTATTTTTTTGTTATGCATGTTGTATGATTCATAACTTTTATCCCCATAGCAATTTTTCATGATTTACTTTAATAATTGCCTTATTAAATAATTGCACGACGAATATGTTTTTTATTTTATGCGTTAAATTATTGTAATTTTGATGTGTAGGTTTCACCTAGATTTTTTTTTTTTTGCCTCGATCAAAGCTTTACTTCTTCATTGGATTGTTAGGAACTCAAGATATTAAAGGGTCAATGTACTAATTTTTTCTATCTTTTTTTGAAAATGTTAACATTGTATTAAAGGGGAGAATTACATGGTCACGGGATTCCAAAGTTGCCCATGCAGGGTGACTTGGTAAAAAATGCCTAAGTCTATCATGTATTAAAAGGGCTCATAAAATCCGCCCAATTACATCGATTTACATGAAGCTTTCAAAAAATACAGCACAGTTGGAAGTTGCCAAGATACAAGGTGTTTAACCTATATTCCAGAGGTCCAAAGCAAAAACGGAGATGAACCCGGCTTGAATTTGTCCTTGGCTTCCTTGGCTTCTAGCTCCCTCTTTCGCCAACAGATCTACATAAACATTGGATGTCCTCCATATATGCTTCCAGGAGACATCCATATTCCTGCAAATGTGATCACTTTCGTCAAAAATAGAGGTTAAGTGCCATGGTGGGGAAGACGTCCTACTTGCCCAGGAGAGGACATTTTGTGAGTCTCCTTCCACTAACAGGTGTGAGCCCCAAGAGTGATTGAAACTTTCCAAGCCTATTACGAGGGCCACGGCTTCTACGTGTTGGGAGTCTTTGAGACCAAGATGTTTGAAAAACATTAGGAGGATATTGCTTTGATGGTCTCTAAAGACCCCTCCTGCCCCTGCCTGGCCAGGATTCCCTAGGGAGCAACCATCAAAATTCAGCTTGATGATGCCTTCTGGAGGTGGTTGCCAGTTATAAGGTCTTGGGGCCAATCTGGGTTGGTGATGAAGGATATTTTGCCATTGACTAAGGAAGAAGCTCCCTGGTATGCCCGAAAAAGCCTGGTGGTAAAAGGCCCAGAAAGTGACAAATGAGATTACCTTGTGTAGGTGTGCAGATGTGTGGAGTTTTGCACCTTGAAATATTCTAGTGTTTCTTTCCACCCAAACTGTCCAGATTGTTGTGGCGATAGTAGCCTTCCATAAGATTCTTCCAGCCTTCGGCCAACAAGAATGTAAGTCATAAGAGATTAAGGCCTTGACCGTACGAGGGGTGACCCATTTTATGCCAAAGAGCTGCAACACTTGGCCCCAAAGTTCATGGGTAAAGTCGTAGAGAATGAATAAATGGGGATTAGATTCCTCCTCGCTGAGGCACATAACACATCTATTGGGGATCGGGATCCCTCTCTTTTGAAGATAATCCACTGTGAGAGCTCTTTGGGAACGAGCGAACCAGTTGAAATTTTGGACCTTGGGTGGGGTGATGGTGGACCAAACTTTCTACAGTACCGAAGTGGGGTTCCCAGGAAAAGTGGGGGGGTGGGTTAGGATCTTGTAGAAAGAGGATACCGAGAATCTACCAGAGGGGGCTAGAGTCCAGACTAAAGCATCTTGTCCTCAAATGGGAATGAAGAGGTAGTATAGGGGTTGTCGAAAGCAACTGAAAATGATTGGTTTCCTCTTTTGTTAGGTTCCATCGGAAAATGAGTTCCACACTCTTCGGCCTCCTAGCATAACCATTTCCTCCGCAAACGAAGATTCTTTGTTTAGAGCAAGTGTATAACGGGTAGGGAACACTTCTTGCAAGGGAGAAGTTCCTAACCATAAATCTAACCAGAATCTCACTCTAGAACCTTCTCTAGAGTAAAACTTAATGAATTTTCTGAACTGAGAGAGAGCAGGGGAGAAGGATTTCCAAGCTCCTGAGGCGTTATTCCACTGACTCCTTTCTAGTACCCAGACCCCTTCGAGGATACTATACTTATTCCGTATTAATTCTTTCTACTTCATTGCCTATTTGTAATTTTTTAGAAAACCAATTCTTAATATTCTTTAGAAGATTAATATGAAAATTCAAATATTTAGACTACATAGTTGTAAATTAACGGGGAGGGAAATTAACATAGAATCATGCTTTTGTGTATGTATCTAGTATCTACAATTTCCACTTCTTGAAAATGTATTCAAGTTTTACTTTGTTGTTTTTATGTAATTTTCAGGATTAGGTGACAAGTTGATACTTCATAGCTAAGGATTGTATGTGAAAAATGTCTTCCTCGAGTTCAAGTAAACAAGCTAATCTAGGTCGAAAATATGGATATTGTCCCAACCCTAATGACAAGAATAGGGTAGCCTACAAATTTTGCAAAAAGGTGAGGAAGCATTTGGCCAACAAGAGAGGGGCCGTAATGCTATGCACTCAAGTTCCCACAGAGATAAAGAGATGTTTGATCTTTTAGAAGGGGATCAAAAGAAGAAAGAACAGACAAGGAAACAATACGAAGACATCAAGGCCTTTTTAGATATCTTTGGAATAGATGAAGAAGATAAAGATGGAGAGGGAGGGGCCCCCATATCTTGAACAAGCACCATTGGGAATAAGAGACGTCGAAGAAGGGGGCCCGTTGATACATTCCCCCCCTCTTGATCCTGAAGTGGTGGTTCGCGAAATGGAGCCGGCACATACTAGTCTAGAGAGTAATTTGAAGAAGCTGAATAGAAAAAGTGTTAATCGGTATGTGGTTCGATGGTAATTTCAAGCAGGTCTACAATTTAATACTGTCAGTTTGAGGATTTCCAAGCTGTGTTAGAGGCAGTGGGGCACTGTGGCCCAAGATATACGGCCCCTACACCTTGAAGAAAGGTGAATCTAATAAATGACTACCCGAAGACCCACAAGGATGTTGGGGGCAGATGTGGGGTGAACATTATAACAGATACTTTGATCGACAGGAGGTCAAGGAGTGTTATGAAGGTCAAGATGTGGGAAACATTTTTTTTAATCCATTGAAGCAAAAGATAAGATTCATGATGCGACTTTCATATTTGGTGTTGTGGATCAGTACATTAAGGAGGTGGGGGAGTCACATGTTGTGCAGGCTATCACAAATAGGGCTAAGGCCATATTGCAGCTGGTAGATTGTTGGAGAGGTCAAGGCCGCACATTTTCTGGACGCCATGCATAGCTCATTATATCGATCTCATGCTTGAGAAAATTGCCAAGAAGAAAGCTGATATTAGAAAAAGCTAAAGTTGCAGCAGTTTTAATTTATAGCCACACCAATGTTTTAGTCATGTTGAGGAAGTTTACAGATGGGACTGACTTGGCAAGGCCGGTGGGTCACGAGGTTTGCCACTTCATTCTTGTCGTTGGATTCTCTGAATAAGCAATAAGACAAGATTCGAACCATGTTTGTCTCCTCAGGTTGGAAGGAGAGCAAGTGGTTTAAGGAGACAAAGGCAAAAAGGTCTATGACTTTCTTACGATGCCAAGTTTTGGATTTGAGGTTTAGTTTTGCCTCCATATTGTTAAGCCACTAGTAAAAGAGCTTCGCCTTGTGGATAGTGAAAAGGAACTGACAATGGAGCATATTTACAAACAATGGAGGTTGCAAGAGAAAAAATCAAGCTGAACTTGAAGCAAGATGAAAGCAAACATGGCCTTATTTTGAAAATTATAGATGACAACTGGGATATGCCGTTGGACAAACCCCTACACCAAGCAGAGTATTTTCTCAACCCTGGATATTCTATTTTAATCATGCGATAGAGAAAAGGGGTTGTGTCATGGAAGTAATTAACAAGTGCAATGTGAAGCTCCACCCTGACTCAGATGCCCAAGAACAAAATGCCTATGGAACTTGCTTTTATCATTGCTCTATGGGGACACTTGGGACGGACATCGCAGTAAGGCAGAGGACGAAAATATATCAATGTAAGTTGAAGATGTGTTCTATATCTAATTTTCTAAATTTTAATTTCTAAATTTACTCATATATATATATATATATACACACACACTCTACTTACTTTTATTTTTAAATGTTTTACAGCTTCTTGGTGAGCAAACCATAGACAAACTGCCCCTAACTTGCAAAGGATAGTGTAGCAGATTTTGAAATTGACTTGTACATCATCAGGCTGCGAGCGCAACTTCAGCACAATCGAGATGGTAAATTTTCCATTGACCCTCATCTCCTATTGAATTACTACACT